TGGTTGGTAAAATTTATTGTGCTTTGGTTGTATGACTCATGGTTTCTAGAATAAGATTCTAAAGTGAGTCTGCTAGCAAGACAGAATCCTATCATCTTTGTTATATTCTGTTTGTTAGACAAATGTCACTAGTTCCACTCATGCTCCAAGAGAGGGGATTATATGAGGTCATGAACACTGGAAGGCAAGTATCATGAAGGCCACCCAAAAGCCTGTTCACAGAAATATGAGAGTGCAAATTGCTACACTATAATTTCTTCTCTTTCCTTGTGTTCCCTTCCCCTTTCTCTCTTCTCCTTCTGTCTCTGGCTGCTACTTTTTTCTTATTCTTCCTTCTTTTCCTCCTCTTCCTTTTCCTCCTTTTCTTCCTCTTCTCCTCCTCCTTTTCCCTTTCCTCTTCTTCCTCCTCCTCCTTCTCTCTCTTTCCCTGTCATCTTTTTTTTCATTTAACCGCAATTTATCATTGTAACTGAAATGTGCAGATGCTCTGTGCACATGTGAAAAATGCAACAGCTGTATTAGTGATGCTACACAACCTCAATTACAGGTAAATATCCTGAGGACAAACAACTGGCTCTTGTTTATCAGAACACTAGCTGCTAATGAATTATGTGATAATTTGTCAAGTGCTTTTACTCTTGGCTATGTAATTATGTGAATCCCCTGCTGAAAACCTGTCCCTGAACTTTATCTTTAACTAGGCCAAGGTTCAAGTGAAGATTGATTTATGTTGGCAGAAAACATCTCTATTAAACAACCAACTATTTTCTTTAGGATAATTATTTACCGTACAGGATCCTTTTCTATATAAAATCTCTTTCCTTTATAACCTTCTTTGCATAGCCAGGGTGTGACATGGTACCAAACCCAATAAAAAGTCCTAGCAGCCTCAGTGATAGTAAAACTTCCATGCTTCCTTTTTTGTTGGTAACTGTTATCCCTGCTATAAGAATATTAATTGAGCAAAATACTATAGCAATGGAAACCCTCTGATGTCCCAGTTAGATGGTGTTACAGTATATCTTCTCACTGCAAATAGAGTGAGTATAGCAATTCCTGCTGGTGTGGTGTAGTAGATAATTTTCATCTAAAATTTTACTCACCAAAACATAACACTTCTCTTTTGGGGATCAATGAAATTTCAAATGCAATCCCATTAATAACTAAAATATCCCTGCAAGTATGCATCAAAAAACAAGTTCTAATGTCTGGCAGTGCATACTGAGGGAAAGTAGAAATGACTGAAGGTAAAGGTTGGACTGAGTAGAATGGGTAGCCCTTGCTCATTTACTTGTCCTTTATGATTTCCATCCTTTGGGTTGAGAAGGAAGGAACTATCCGTTCAGGGGATTATTATTTTTTTCTTTTTTATTTTGTTCTTTTAATGAACGAAGGGAGAAAAATATAGTCAATATTTCACAAAGAGTGAATGCAATATTGACACTTAAAATAGCATCTTCAAGTGGACAATTTAATGAGAGGATTACATTTCCTTCTCTGGGTCTATTTTAGGAGATACTCTTTTTTTCCCCCATTTATTTTATTGCATTTTAGGTTTTGGGGTACATGTGAAGAACATGCAAAATTGTTGCATAGGCACACACATAGCAGTGTGATTTGCTGCCTTCCTCCCCTTCACCTACATCTGGCATTTCTCCCCTTGCTATCTCTCCCCAGCTCCCCACCCCTCACTGTCCCTCCCCCATTTCCCCCCAACTGACCCCAGTGTGTAGTGCTCCTCAGGGGATTATTTTTAAGTCAGACTTCACAAGCGTCCACTGCACTCCAGCTAGGGCAACAAGAGCAAAATGCCATCTCAAAAAAATAAATAAATAAAAGAAATAAAAATAACTCTTAATTGGCACTTCTTCATATATGTGTGAATTGCTCTCAAAAAGCTTTTTGTAAATGAATGATTCATGTAACAAGTACTTAAATGTTTTAAGTACCCTGGTGTCCTTATCTGGAAAATTGGATGATTAATATTGGCTTATTTTTAATACATTCTTTCTATAAAGAATAGCAAAAATTATTGTAAATAATTTGATAAAGTACTAAGTATTGTACAAAGGTTTGCTCAACAGGAAGAACAGCAACAACACTTTACATCCTATCAATGCCCCCACTTTAAATCAAGTAAGTTCTCATCTCCAATTCTTTGTGTAATTTATTGTCAGGCACAAAAAGTATCTCAATTTACCTGTGCTCACTGCTGCCAACACTTAACTCATTACTTTGTAAGTAAGGTATTTTGAAAGCACTTTGAGAACTAAACGAACTAAATATGAAATACAATTTTTTTATATTATCCCTTGCCCACTACTCTCTCTCTTACTTTTAATAAACATTAATGTTTCTGTTAATCCTTCAGAAGTACTAAGAATAGAGAAAAATAAATCTCTTGAACTCTAAATTTCTGTGGCATTTCCACCTCAATCTCACTTTCATTCTGATCTTAGATAAATCAAGAGGTTTAATTTGGAAAGAAATTATAAAAGCTGAAATTTATTTTTCATTTCTTAGGAGCCTTTATCATGACTGATAAAGGAATGCACATTGTTTAGATTTTAGAAAAAAAGACCTCTTTACTAGGTAAAACAGCAGAGCAGAAAGGCTGAATGATTTAAGAGATGCTCAAGGTGCTTCAATATTTGAACTATATATCCCTTCAGGATTTACAATCTCTTAACCCAAATAATCTGCCTACAACCTTCTCTTATATTTTCTTTCTTGGAAACCTGTGTGCCCTCTATAAATTCAGGTTGTTTCATGGAGTTAGGACCAGAGTCACCTCCTTATCTAGAATTCATTGTGTAAATGCTCAGAACTGTAATACACTAAACTGTGGAGGAGAGGTTCATATTTTGTCTCTGTTCTTTTTCATTAGTATGTTTTTATAATTAGAAAACATCTCCAGTTGGTATCATTGCCTTCCTTCATGTATTGTTCTCCATATTGTATGATTATGATTATTTTTTATCTTCTTTTTCTTCCTCCTTTTTCTGTGGATTTTATTTTGGTGATATCTTTTGCAACTCAGTACTAGATCCTACAATGGGTTAGAAATATTACATGTTGGCCAATGTGGTGGACTAGTAACAGTTGCAGTTGGAGGCTCCCACTGAGAAGAACTAAAGTGGTGAGTAAATCCTGCACCAGCAACTGAGGTTTTCAGGTTCTTTCACTGGGATGGACTAGATGGTTGGTGCGATCCACAGAGAGCAAGGAAAAGCATGAGGGAGCACTGGCCCACCCAGGAGCTACATGGGGCAAGGATATCTCCTACTTCCAGCCAAAGTAGATGGTGATTGATTGTGCTATTCCACCCTGAAAATCACACTTTTTCCATGGATCAGGGCAACCTGCAGATGAGTGATCCCCCTGTGAGCCCATGCCTCCAGGGTCTTGGGTCCCAAGCACAGAGCTATGCATATTCTCATCAGCCACTTGGCTGGTGACTGCCTAACTACCGAGTTCCTGGGGAGAAGGGTAGCTGTTATTACTGTGGCTGCCTGCTGCGTAAGATGACTGAGTTCTGGGTGGTGGGGAAAGCAGCCATCATTACAGCTCCAGTTTGCTGTTTTCTTCTGCTGGTACCAAGGATAGTGGATGGTGTGGACCCAGAAGGAATTCCACACAGCACAGCAAAGTGAGTGTGGCAGATCATGGCCAGACTGCCTTATCCCTCCTCATTGTGTGGGGCCTCCTTGTATGAATTTAAACAACTACAGCCAGGGGTTTAGGGACAGAATTCTGATATCCCTCGGACTGAGCCACTGTCGGGAAGGGCAGCTACTGTCTTCATGAATCAGCAGACTTAGTCTTTTACTCTACTGGCTCTGAGAAATCCAGGAAGTCTAGATAGATGGAATGCCCCCCAGCACAGTACAGCCCCCTTGCCAAGGGGCAGGCAGAGTGTTATCATTAAGTGGGTCCATGATTCCATGCCTCCTAGGTGAGAATCCCCAACAGTGGTCAAAAGACATTTTATACAGGAGTGTTCCCACAGGTATCAGACTTGTGCCTCTCTGGCACAGAATTCCCAGAGGAAGGGGCAGGCAGCCATATTTGCTGTTCTGCAGCCTCCACTAACACCTCTAGGTGTGGGAGGTACCCAGGCAAATAGGGTCTGGAGTGGATCCTCAGCAAACCACAATAGTCATACAGAAGAGGGGCCTGATCGTTAAAAATGGACAGAAAGCAACAACAACAGTATCAACGAAAAAATTCCCCACAAAAGCCCCAAACAAAGGTCAGCAGCCTCAAAGATCAAAGCTAGATAAACTCACAAAGATAAGAAAGATCAATGAAAAAACGCTTAAAACTTAAAAACCCATAATGCTTCTTCTCCTCCAAATGTTGCAACTCTTCTCCAGCAAGGGCACGGAACTGGGCTGAGGCTGAGATGGATGAACTGACAGAAGTAGGCTCCAGAAAGTGGGTAATAACACATTTTGCTGAGCTAGAGGAGCATGTTTTAACTCAGTGCAAAGAAGCTAAGCACCGTGATAAAACATTACAAGAGCTGTTAACCAAAATAACCAGTTTAGAGAGGAACATTAATGACCTGATGGAGCTGAAGAACACAACACGAGAACTTCACAGTGCAACCATATGCGTCAATAACCAAATAGACCAAATGGAGGAAAGAATTTTAGTGATTGATGACTATCTTGGTGAAATAACACAGGCAGACAAGATTAAAGAAAAATGAATGAAAAGAAATGAACAAAACCTCCAGGAACTACAGGATTATGTAAAAAGACTGAGCCTATGACTGATTGGGGTACCTGAAAAAAATGGGGAGAATGGAACCAAGTTATCAGGATATCACCCAGGAGAGCATTCCCAACCTAGCAAGCCAGGTCAACATTCAAATTCAGGAAATCTGGAAAACCCCAGTAAGATACTTCATGAGAAGATCAACCCCAAGACATATATTCATCAGATTCTCCAAGGTCAAAATAAAGGAAAAATGTTTAGGGCAGGCAGAGAGAAAGGCCAGGTTATCTACAAATGGAAGTCCGTCAGACTAACAACAGATCTCTCAGCAGAAACACTACAAGTCAGAAGAGATTGGGGGACAATATTCAACATTCTTAAAGAAAAGAATTTCCAAGCTGGAATTTCAAAACCAGCCAAACTAAGCTTCATAAGTAAAGGAGAAATAACATTCTTTTCAAATAAGCAAATGCTGAGGGAATTTGTCACCATCAGGCCTGCCTCACAAAAGCTTCAGAAAGAAGCACTAAATATGGAAAAAAGAAAACCATTATAGCCACTACAAAAACACATTGAAGTACAAAGACCAATGATATTATGAAGCAACTACATCAATAAGTCTGCAAAATAATCAGCTATCATCATGATGACAGGATCAAATTCACGCATAACAATATTAACCTTAAATGTAAATTGTCTAAATGCCCCAGTTAATTGACACAGAATATCAAGCTGGATGAAGAATCAACACCTATTGGTGTGGTATATTCAAGAGACCCATCTCATGTGCAAAGACACATATAGGCTCAAAATAAAGGGATGGAGGCAAATTTGCCAATCAAGTGGAAAACAGAAAAAAGCAGTGTTTTGTAATCCTAGTTTCTGACAAAACTGACTTTAAACTAACGAAGGTCAAAAAATACAAAAAAGGGCAAAAAATACAAAAAAGGGCATTGCATAATGGTAAAGGGCTCAATTCAACAAGAAGATCTAACTATACTATATACATATGCACCAAATACAGGAGCACTCAGATTCACAAAACCATTTATTAGAAACCTACAAAGAGACATAGATTCCCACACAAAAATAATGGGAGACTTTTACCCCATTGTCAATATTAGACATTATTTAAACAAATTTAACAAAGATATTCAGGACTTGAACTTGGCTCTGGATCAAGTAGAACTGATAGATATCTACAGAGCCCTCCAACACAAAACAACACAATGTACATTCTTCTCTGTGCCACATGGCAGTTGCTCCAAAACTGATCACATAATTGGAAGTAAATTACTCCTAATCAAATGCAAAAGAACTGAAATTATAAGCCTCTCAGACTACAGCACAATCCAATAAGAACTCAAGATTAAGAAACTCACTCAAAACCACACAACTCCATGGACATTGAACAACCTGTTACTGAATGACTTCTGGGTACATAATAAAATTAAGGCAGAAATCAAGAAGTTATTTGAAACCAATGAAAACAAAGAGACAACATTTCAGAATTTCTGGAATGCAGCTAAAGCAGTGTTAAGAAGGAAATTTATAGCACTAAATGCCCACTTCAGAAAGCCAGAAAGCTCTCAAACAGACTTCCTAACATCACAACTAAAAGAGTTAGAGAACCAAGAGCAAACAAACCCCAAATCTAGCAGAAAACAACAAATAACCAAGATCAGAGCAGAACCAAAAGAAATAGAGATATGAAAAATCCTTAAAAAATCAACTAACCCTGGAGCCATTTTTTAGGAAAAAATTAATAAAATAGCTAGCTATATTAATAAAGAATAAAATAGAGAACATCAAATAGACACAATAAAAAGTGATAAAGAGGATATCACTATTGATCCCACAGAAATACAAACAACCATCAGATAATTAAACACCTTTGGCGGGGCACAGTGGCTCACGCCTATAATCCCAGCACTTTGGGAGGCCAAGGCGGGTGGATCACGAGGTCAAGAGATCGAGACCATCCTGGTCAACATGGCGAAACCCCGCCTCTACTAAAAATACAAAAAATTAGCTGGGCATGGTGGCGCGTGCTTGTAATCCCAGCTACTCAGGAGGCTGAGGCAGGAGAATTGCCTGAACCCAGGAGGCGGAGGTTGTGGTGGGCTGAGATGGCGCCATTGCACTCCAGCCTGGGTAACAAAAGCAAAACTCCGTCTCAAAAAATAAAATAAAAAAATAAACACCTCTATGCAAATAAAGTAGAAAATCTAGAAGAAATGGATACATTCCTGGACACATGCACCCTCCCAAGTCTGAAACAGGAAGAAGTTGAATCCTTGAATAGACAAATAAAAATTTCTGAAACAGAAAGTGTAATAAATAGCCTACCAACCCCAAAAAGCCCAGGACCAGACAAATTTAAAGCTGTATTCTACCAGAGATACAAAGAGGAGCTGGTAACATTTCTTATGAAACTATTTCAAACAATTGAAAACAAGGAACTCCTTCCTAACTCATTTTATGAGACCAGCATTATCCTGACGCTAAAACCTGGCAGAGATACAAGAAAAAAAGAAAACTTCAGGCAAATGTGCCTGATGAACATCAATGAAAACATTCTCAATAGTATAATGGAAAACCAAATCCAGTAGTGCATCAAATAACCTATCCACCACAATCATGTCAGCTTCATCCCTGGGATACAAGTCTGGTTCAACATATACAAATCGATAAACATAATTTGTCACATAAACAAAACTAAAGACAAAACACACATGATTATCTCAACAGATGCAGATAAGGCCTTTGATAAAATTTATCATTCAAAGTTTTAACATCATTTCATGTTAAAATCTCTCAATAAACTAACTATTGATGGAACATACCTCAAAACAACAAGATCCATTTATGACAAAACCGCAACTAATATCATATTGGATGGGCAAAAGACCAAAGTATTTCTCTTGAAAACCAGCGCAGAATGTGGATTCCCTTTCTCACTACTCCTATTCAATGTAGAATTGGAAGTTCTGGCCAGGGCAGTCAGGGAGGAGAAAGAAAGAAAGCGTATTCAAATAGAAAGAGAGGAAGTCAAACTGTCTTTGCAGATGACATGATCCTGTATCTAGAAAACATGTAATCTCAGACCAAAAGTTTCTTAAGCTGAGAAGGAAATTCAGCAAAGTCTCAGGATACAAAATCAATGGCAAAACCCACAAGTATTCCTATACACCAATAGTAGACAAGCAGAGAGCCAAATCATGAATGAACTTGCATTAAAAGTTGCTGCCAAGAGAATAAAATACCTAGAAATACAGCTAACAAGGGAAGTGAAGGATCTCTTCAAGGAGGACTACAAACTACTGTATAAGGAAATCAGAGAGGACACAAACAAATGGAAAAAACATCTCATGCTCATGGATTGGAAGAATCAATATAGTGAAAATGGCCATGCTGCCCAAAGTAATGTATAGATTCAATGCTATTCTCAATCAACTACCATTGACATTCTTCACAGTATTAGAAAAACTACTTTCGAATTCATGTGGAATGAAGAAAGAGCATGTATAGCCAAGACAATCCTAAGCAAAAAGAACAAAACTGGAGGCATCATGCTACCCAACTTCAAACTATACTGCAAGGCTACAGTAACTGAAACAGCATGGTACTGGTACCAAAACAGACACATAGACCAATGGAACAGAATAGAGAACTCAGAAATAAGACTGCACACCTACAACCATCTGATCTTCCACAAACCTGACAAAAACAAGCAATGGCGAAAGGATCCTTTATTTAATAAATTGTCCTGGGTGAACTGGCTAGTCATACAGAGAAAATTGAAACTCGACCATTTCCTTATGCCTTATACAAAAGCTAAGATTGATTAAAGACTTAAATATAAAACCCATAATGATAAAAATCTTAGAAGAAAATCTAGGCATATCATTCAGTACATAAGCACAGGCAAAGATTTTATGACAAAAATATCAAAACTAATGGCAACAAAAGCAAAAATTGACACATGAGATACAATTAAATGAAATAGCTTCTGCACACCAAAAGAAACTATCATCAGGGTGAACAGACAATCTACAAAACGGGAGAAAATTTTTACAATTTCTCAATCTGACAAAGGTCTACTATCCAAAATCTACAAGAAGTTAAAAAATTTACGAGAAAAAAAACAACTCCATTAAAAATAGTGGGCAAAGGAGATGAACAGATACTCTGAAAATGAGACATTTATGTGGCCAACAAACATATGAAAGAAAGCCGAACATCACTGATCATTAGAGAAAGACAAATCAAAACCACAATAAGATACCATCTCATGGCAGTCAGAATGGTGATTATTAAAAAGTCAAGAAACAACTTATGCTGGTGAAGCTGTGGAGAAATAGGAACCCTTTTACACTGTTGGTGGGAATGTAAATTACTTCAACCATCGTGAAATACAGTGTGGTGATTCCTCAAAACTCTAGAACCAGCAATACCATTTGACCTAGCAATCCCATTATAAATCCCATTATAAGCCCAGAGGAATATAAATTATTCTACTATAAAGACACATACATGCATATGTTCAAGGTAGTATTATTCACAATAGCAAAGTAATGGAATCAACTCAAATACCCATCAATGATAGACAAGATAAAGGAAATGTGGTACATATACACCATGGAATACTATGCAGCCATAAATAGAGCAAAATCATGTTCTTTGCAAGGGCATGGATGGAGTTGGAAGTCATTATCTACAGCAAACTAATGCAGGAACAGAAAACCAAGTACCTCATGTTCTCACTTTAAAGTGGGAGGTGAACAATATAGATAATGCAAGCTAGGCTTAATACCTAGGTGATGGGCTGACAGGTGCAGCAAACTGCCATGGTATGTGTTTACCTATTTAACAAACCTGTACATCCTGCACGTGTATCCTGGAACTTAAAAAAATAAGAATTATTACATGTTATCAATAGGTGAAATATTAGCTTTTCCTCTTTTGCAAAAGTTGGTGAAAGTTCTTCAGCTTTCCTTCCTTTCTCCAGTTACTTGGATCTTTCATTGTTGTGCATGAAATATGATCATTTTTTACTGATAATATACAATATAACCAGTATATCACATATAAATCCAAGGGATCCCATAATGAGGTCTCTGGCATTTATTATATATATTTATCGTATATATAATAATGGGACTCAATGATTATTTTGTTCAGTGTGCTTTAGTGACTGGCCCTTATGTAATTAATATAACACTCCCTTCTGGAAAAGAAATGCACACATAAAAAGGGAGAGAAGAAGGGATATAACTATTATTGAGCTACCAGATCATTACTGCATTTATTATTATTACTTCTAATAAAAATTAGAGCAGCAGCAGTATCAGTAGTTGCAGTAACATCTATTGAGACCAAACCATGAGCCATGCCCTGTACTAATATCTTCACATATTGTATTTTATTTATAAAGTTCTTACAAATGCAGATTGATTTAAGTGATTGGCAATGCTATTCAAATTAAACATTTTTCATGAAAACATCAAGTTTGAGGATTCATATTAATATATTATTTTTAACCAGCATTCTTAATATTCATCTTGTTATGGTTTAATAAATTTAAATAAACACACTGGCGGTTTTTTTTTTTTTTTTTTTTTTTTTTCTGTAGCCTTGATGTCTTCCTTGAGGCTATTAAAACACAA